AGACTCCTAGTCCTCGTCACAGGATCAGCATTTTGTCTCATTCCTCTCGCTCATCCTTATGTGACCCCATGGCATCAATCTAATTCCTAAACTACAACACCAAGCTCCAAGTCGGGAAATGTCTGCCCAAAACAAACGACTCAAAGGGAAACGCGCGTTCTTACGAAACCTCGAAAAGATATTTCCGACCACAAGGAAATGATATATAACGATTAACATATATTTTCTTTGTAAAACCTGTTACATATCAAAACAAATTTAACCCATTCACCACGTATTGCAAGAGTACATGCCATGCCCAATGTAATAAAAGTTTATTTATTGTATTTACACATAGCGCTTAGTCACCAAGGAGTCGGTTATTAGCCCTACCTATCTTACCTGTTTACCCTTTTCCTCGACTTTTGGAAAGGTTCTTTTAATTTTAATTATTTTTTAAGATTTTAATAGCAATTTAATAATCATAACATCATTAACAACAATAACAATATCGATGTCAACTGTATAAAAAAGGAAAAAGAAAAAAATCCCGCCAATTCACGGAATGGGAAATCAGGATCAGTCACTCGGGCTACTGAGAGATTCCTTGCCGGCTGAGCACTTGTGGAGTCATCTGTATGTAACAACATTCACAAAAAAATCTATAGGGGACAGAACGTAAATCAGGGGCGATTGGGTTAAGAAAGATAAATAACATAAGAGACTAACATTTTACATATGTAAATGCGATTGAACTTCTTGGCTCTACATGTATGTAGCATGAATGTCGAGAACATACAAGAATATATGAGAGAAATATAAAAAATAGAACTAGAAATATTATGTTTGAAATTGCTCAGCATTTGTATTCAAAGAAAATAGAGATAAAGGTAGTCATATATTAACATTTGAGATTCAATTCATAAATTTGGGTATTTTTTCAGTCTCGACGATCCGTAAATCTGGCAATCGGAAATGAATGCTATTTTTTCTCTTCCATTCATGATTAAAGATAAACACTCCAGCTATATGTGCATGCAAATATGTGGATATATGAAAATATTGGCTATTATTTGTTGCTGAACATTAAACCATTTGCCCTTGTTGCAACGCTATACACTTCCCGCAAAAAAGAGTCGACTGCACCTTCATTTCTTATTAAACAACCAATAAAATGGAAAACACTTCCTCCCGAAATAGCCAAACCTTTATCTAAACGTTCTGGACGGCTTTCCGTCACACTAATTCTTCTTATAATATCCTACAGGAATACTCTTGGCTAGAAAGACAGGTTAGACGCTGTAAATGTAAAGGTGTGAAATGGCTCATCAATGACCCCAAGACGAGCGAGAGCCTCTCCCCACTCCCAGCTTGGACCTTGATAACGCTCTCGTTGCGCTCTGCTTCCTACATATTGTTTTTAACGTTCCATCTACATCACAAAGCCGAGTAGTAATCTATCGTAGTTAGATACTAGCACAAAATGAAGAGCTTACAAGTAACACTATTAAATAATTCATTTTTCCAAGAGATAAATCACGCGTAGATTGCTGTCGAAATGCAATCCACCTGCAGAATGCAGCGACTTCCTATGCTCACGTTCAGCATGAAAACTGTTCACAGTATAGTAGTAGCGGCATTGTCATCATCATTATCCTCATCATTTTTATTATGATTTTCATCAGTCCTATTATCCTTATCATTATTATCGTCTTCGTGATTATCATTATTACTATTATCATCATTATCATTACCGTTATCTATGTCATTATCATTACCGTTATCTATGTCACTATCATTATCATTATCATCATTGTGACTTTTATTATTACAACTATGACTACCATTATGATAATAATAATTATCATCAATATTATGGTTATTATTCTCATTACTATTATTATGAACATTATTATTGTTATCATTTTACTATGATTATAATCATAATCATTATTACTATTATAATCCTTATTGTCATTATTATAGTTATTTATATCACCGTTAACATTCCCAATAGCAATAGAAGTACTAGCAATAGCCGCAGTAATTGTAGAAATACTACCATTACGGCCTGTGTGTGTCATCCCGAAACCCCAAACAATTTGATCGATATATCATGATCCCTACAAAACACGATGTAATCGAAGTTTGAACAGAGTTATTTTTCTTAATTTCCCATATAAAAGTTAATAGAAAATAATTTAAGTATTTAAAGTGCACCTGTATCATAGAATTTTGTGTCAAGAAATTTACGATGCGCTTCGTGGTTAACGAAAATATAAATCCCTATCCGAGACTCCTTGAACTATATCAGAAATATATCGCGATCTGATTGACAGGTCAGAGTTCCAACGGGTTCCAACAATGTGTGCGTAAATGGCAAACATGTGTCACAGTGTATCAAAGTGCTACAAAAAAGGTTTTTAGTTGTGGTAGTTATAGCAATAATAGTAATAAAAGTAGTACTAGTAGTAATAATAGCAGTAACAACAGTAGTAATAGTAATAGTGATGATAGTAGTAGTAGTAGTAGTAGTAGTAAAACAGTAATAAGTGGTGGTAGTGGTGGTCGTTACAACAGGTGGCAGAAGTAGTGGTAGTAGTTTTAGTTTTTTAGTAGTATTAGTCCATGCAGTAGTTTTAGAAGAGGCATA